TGTACATATCGCTCGAACTACAAAACCTAGGAAGCTGAAACAGGTACTCACTCGATTCCGTGGCAAGTTGCTGAGCGCTTCGAGGTTTGTTTTATCCGAGATACCACCATGCGCAACAAAAATTTTGTTGTCAACAACGGTTGCGAGCGGAAGCCAGGAGAACACATCCTCGAGTAGCCGCACCAACACATTCGCCGAGCTCTCAAAACAAAGGTTCTCCTACAGGATTATTGTGAATGGACGTTGAAATCGACATTTGGAAAAAGCAATGAAGAGGGAAAAAGAATGCTGACAATAAATTTATGTTCCTCTACCAAAATAATTTCCTTAAAATAGTACGATAATGTGTCTTTTTTCGTCCACTTTGACCCCTCTCACAAATGAACGTTGGCATAATTAAGCTCCCCAACTTTTATTTTAACTTTAGTTGATATATATTTATGTAAGATTGTAAGGAAATAAAAAAGGAGAATGTGAATAAAACAAGACTGAAATCTGAATGAGAATGCTTCGGTCCATCAAGTCGCATACATTTTAGTCTGAATCTAATTCTTAGGAAATCCCAGTTCTCGCTGGCAATTTAGCATGCCGGATGTGCCCCTCAACTTGTTTTCTGTTTAAAAGTTTACTGTTTTCATGAATCTAGATTAATTTAAACGTCTGTTTCTGTTACACAACCATTCACAAGGAGAGTTCTGCATAAAATGAAGTGTGCTGAAGCAACCTTATACTTTGTCATCAGCTCCTTGACAAACCCATAGCGAAGATTCATTATGTGATCCTCGTGATTACCGCGATTTAATACCACTGATGATGGATTTAGCACCACTAGAGCGCATAATACCACAAACACTTCGATAGACTGCGCTCCACGATCAACAAAATCACCGTTGAAGATATATGGATTATCCACTGATGGATACCCGTTCTAGATCAGTTAGCATCCGGCAAAAGTTTCAAGTTCGTTTGCTCCGACTAATAATTTTATTCATCTACTTCAAAGCTAACTCAGCGATAAAATTCAGTTAAAATAATGTTAGCACTTTACCGACTCCATCTTCATTTGAGTGAGACCAGGCTGGAAAGCACCAGGCGGACCGGTGCGATCATCCATTTTTGCGCTATTTCGTATTGCCGTAAGATTTCATGGAGTCACAGCAGCTAAAATTTGTGAGCTATCCCTCGAAGTTCAGGAAGTTAATTATGCAGCAATTCGGTGTGCCAGTTGTAGGTGTCGGCTTCTGTGACCCGACAAACGAAACGTTGCTGATGCGTCAAAAAGCAACCATTAGAAGAGTTGAATTTGAAGTGTTTTAGTCGCACGTGAGCAGGGAAAATTCCCTTAAAATTCCAACTCCAAATTCCAACTTAGCAATTCTGCCGTCAAAACTTTCATGTGGCTACAAGTAAATCTCGGGCTGTTTCAAGGAGCTTAATTTGAAGTCTTTTGGTCGTACATGGTTGATAAACATCCCTCTAAAGTTTCAGCTTTCTAGCTTTTCTCGTTTCCGAGCCAGCGATTTTCGCGCCGAAATACGTTTTCGTACGTGGGGTGTAGATGTGCGTGGCATTTAATATCTCGCCCCTTGGGCGCCACTTGGCCAGGGGTCATACGGGCATAATTTCAAGTTTTTAAGCTTGAGTGACTGCTGAGTACAAACACTCGGAAATACGGACACACACTCACACACACGCGCTCACACACATACACACACACAAACATGCACACAAAAGGGTCATCGCAATATGCGTTTTTGCTGCTTGTTGGAGTGCTCTAACGCTACACAGCAAAAAAATCATTGGCGACGCGCACCAGGCAGTCCTGTGCGATCGTGCGTTTTTGCAGTATTTCGTACTGTAGTCAAATCGCTTGGAAGCTCAGTAGTTCAGTAGCTAGGATGGCATATTGGTCCTCGACATTCAGGAAGTTAGTAGTGCAACTGCGTGTTACTTGCTCACGGAACATCCGTTCAATATTTCAGCCTCCAAGCCTCTATGGTTCCCGAACTAACGGCTTCCCGTCAAAAATGTTCACGGGAGAACCACGCCCTCCTGGGACCTCAATTTGAAGATTTTAAGTTGTACACGGGCTGGAAACACCCCCTCAATTTTAAATTGTACACAGCTTCCGAGCTTCCCTTGTTCCCGAGCTAGCGATTTTCTCCGTCAAAAACTTTCATTGCGACCTACGTGGAAGTCACACGCAATGTGGGGGCTGAATTTAAAATTTTTGAGTTCTACGTGGACGGAGAAAACAACTTCAAAATTTCTGTTTTCTACGTTTTCTTGTTCCTAACTTAGCAATTTTCTTGCCAAACCTTCAAGCATTCGTAAGCGGGGCTCAAGCGTGCGTGAGGGTTAGTACCGCAGTACTGGGGCGGCACTTGGCCAGAGAAACCAATGGCAAAATTTTGGTGCTGGAGCTTGTTTGGTTGCCGAGTCAAAATACTCAGACACGTACACATTTACGGTACGAATTGGTGTCTGGCAGCCATTTTAAGTTCGCTGCATTTTTTTATGCTTTTACCCTTCTCGATCATATTTTTCACCTACAATTTACACTAATTCCTTTTTATTGTTTTTTTTTT